TCACGGAGGGGTCTATCAACTCCATTCTGAAAACAGCCGGATGATCGAAGGAGCAACCGAACTGAGCAGCCTCACCCTAGACTGCTGCTGCCCAGTAGTGCTGAGGTCCCATAAACGCACAACACCATCAGTGCAGGCAGTGTAGAAAGACCTCCGATCAGCTCCGAAGGCACAGTCCCACACCCATCGTGGATGACCATCGAAACCACACTGTCTTGAAAACCCGTCACTAACCGCACAAGGCATCAATTACCAACGACGAACTCATCGAGACTTACCTATGCGACTGCCATATCTGTGCTGTGCCATCGCTACCGCAGGTGGCCAGCAAGCGTGCCGGTCCCGGTGCGAATCGAACCTACAACAGTTACCCTGATATGCCTCGAAGAGCTTCCTGCACCTACTTTCAATACGTAGGCGTCATGTGCATCCAAAACATTGAGGGGGACCCAGCTGCTCGAGTCCGCATCCTCTGCGATGGAATTCTCAAACTCGGAAAGTCGATCCTACAAATACCTCTTCCCGTACGCATCCCCCCGGTGGTCGCCGAAGACGCATTTGTTCCCACTCACAATTGATGGTGTTTCCCGAGAAGTTTTGATATTCGATGCCGTCTGCTGTTGCTGATCGGACGATCCTTCTGATGATGTTGAGGTACTTCCTGAGGTCGCTGGTGGACCTGCAGTAAAACGTGGTGACACGAGACGATTCGGACCATCACTACCCGCGTTGATCCCACTGGAAATTTCGATACCACTCCGTGCATGCACTTCAGGTGTTCGAGGTGGCGTAACGACTTCATGTTGTTCTCCGCATACACGCCATGAAAAACAGGAGCCCTTATGGTTGGCCGCCACCACAGTCACGGCATCACTGGACGGGTCTGCATACCTGATGACCTCATCAAGGTCCCCTTTCCAGAAGCACGAGAGCCTTTCTACGTTGGAGCCACCGCTATGGATTTGATCGGCGAGGCTCCTGGGTCCGGCACCTCCGTCCACACCTAAACTGCCACAGTCTGGAGCCTGTGATCATCAGCAACTCCATAGCGCACCCTGTTAGCCGTGAGATCCCACACAGCGACCCGACCACTAGCATCACCACACAAGACCTCGGCTTGGTTGGGATGCAGCACACAGCAGTGTATGGCACCACCGCTACCGTCAGGCTGCTGATTCTTGAAACACCTGACGAGACGAGCTGCTGTGGTGGTCAAATACCCCCTGTGAAAATAACCGACATTTGGAAGCTTTTCTCGTCGCCAGCCGGAGCCCGTCGGTCCCATATTTTCGCCGTACCGTCTTCAGATGATGTGACGAACCATCTG